CTCTCATCTCTCAAGTTCATTCATTTCTTTCTGCAATTGGATGGCATTGTACTTCTCAGTGGATGTGTATCTCGAAATTGGCCAGGGTCATAACATTGGTATCGGAGCGGATTCTACTTGCTGGTGAGAGTTGACTTTGCTACCCTAACCCTAACCTAAGTGGTTGAGGGCAACACTTAGGGTTAGGGTTGGATGGTTGAGGGAAGTGGGGCAGCGTGGTTAAGGGAAGCTGCCCCCACCTGGTTAGGTCATGTGGGGTCAACATAGACCCTAACCAGTTGTCTGATTTGTTGTACGGACGCGGAGCTGGTCAGGCTGGACTCGAGAGGACCTCGTATGCAGCCTGATCAGACTGGGTCGCGGGATCAGACCTCTCTTTGAGTGTTGATTGTTTCTTTTTGTTGTTCTCTGCTTCCAAATGAAATGCTGCTCCGGCTAGGAGTTCTACCTTCTATTCTCTGAGCTTATTTATTTTTCCGAGTTCATTTCCGATGCCCGTGGAGACTCGCAATCTGAAAGAAGAAAGAGAGAGGAGGGAGAGAGAACAGGGAGAGAGGGAAAGTGACACTCTGAAGTGGGCAAGGACTGGGAAAAGGAGTGTTCGTTTGGGCGCAAGGGGGAGTGAACCTCTTGAGAGTCTAATTGATTATTTTGCTGACTGGCAACTCTCTGACCCACCTATCCATACTGACAGCCCGAAAATGGCCCACCTAACTTCAACACAGTGGCGAAACTTGTTAAATGCAGCCATTGATGCTGAGAAACCACATCTGCAAGCACTCTTGGATGGTGCTATAAAACGAGAACAGGAGACAGAGAAGGAGAGGAAGGAGACCCTGCTAAGAAGGCAAGTGGCTCTCCTAGAGACTGTCCCCTCACTGACTGAAGTGCAGTGTGGGGAACAACTGCAGTCCATACTCACAGCCTTGGTTCAAGTCCGGAATCTTAAGGACCATACCACTCAGATCGCTGAAGTTTTTGCGAAGCTGCATACTCTTCAGGATGATCTGACTGAGATGACCCGCAAGTACCATGACTTGACCAAGGAGGTGGCTGATCTGCGACAAGCCCAAGTGGCCAACCCTCCCCTCTACCCCCTGCATCCGGAGCTGCAATCGGAACTACTTCTGCCCCTCTTACTGTATCTTCTTCTACCTCTTCTTCGAGTGTGATGGCAATTTCCTCAGGACCTGCAGCAGGTGCAGATTCCACTCTTGCTGTAAACAGCAATGAGGTTGGGACTTCTGCAAGTGCTGCAGCCCCAGGATCGGAACCAGCTGCTGTTGGTCCCAGCTACGCAGGTCCCTATGTGGACCGGAAGTTGGTTCAAATGCCGTCCAAGTACGATGGCAAAGAAGACATCGAATCCTGGATTGGCTCTATGCGGGCCTACTTCGAGATTCTGGGGACTCAAACTGAGACCCAGGCTGTTATCATGGGTATGAATGTCGAGCCAGTCGTACGGGGCTTCCTAGAAGTCCAAGCAACGCGGGCTGGGTTTCCAAAAGCTGCACTGGCCAAATGGCTAAGGGCCACCCCGGTTGCCTCCCTCGAAGAACTCCTTACCTCAGAATACCTAGATCCACATGTTGCTGCTAAAGCAAGAATCCAACTGGATAAAGTAAAGCACAGCAAGTGGAATGGCTCCATGAAAAGCCTGCAGACCTATCTAAGCAAGTTGTTAGCCACTCCTGGTCTGGAATTGTCCCCTCAATCTTGCTTGGATGTGGTCAAGGGCGCAGTCCCAACTCACTTCACTAGTCGCCTGGGCACGGGCTACATTGCGTATACGAACTGGCTCGCCTTAATGAAGGATGTAGTCGGTCTGGAGGCCATGGACCTTGTTAGCACGGCAGGTAGCAAAAAGCCCATGGGCGGCAGACGGTTCAAGGGCAACAACCGTTTGGCTGTGCATGACCTGCTGGAGGCTGAAGAAGGAGCCGATGCGGTTGACCCCACTCTTGGTGACGACCAAGAACAGGACTCCGATACAGCTTGTTCTTCAGCCCATGAGTCCGATGCAAATAGCGAAGAAGAGAAATTCTCTGCCTTTAAAAAGACTGCCAACACTAAGGGACCAAATCGGAGTGCCGGAAAGAGTTATGTCCAACTCCCCAAAGGAGTTAAGATCCCGCCTAAACCGGAGGATGCATCTACCAAACCTTGGGTAGACCTCCGGATCACTGAAAATGACTGGTGGGGCAGACTCAAGAAGGGGGTTTGCCTGCATTGCCAAAAGCCGAATCATAAAGTTCAAGACTGTTATCGGCTGCAGGGAAACCAGAATCGGGCGTAGAGTCAGACTCGGCAAACTCTACAGCAAGGGAAGCTGGTTCTGTTGACGATCAGCAGCCCTCCCTTGCAGCCCAACCATCTGTTGAAGACAAGGTTGCGGCAAGTAACGTATTGTATGGTGAGCCTTGGGAGGAGTCCGAGATGATTGACTTCCACTACCACTTGGAGCATTGGCCTGAAATGAAACAGCAGCGGGCCCAAGGGACAGTGAAGTTAATCTTCTTTAAGCTTCTCATCAACCACCACTATCTCCGTGGTGCTACAGCTAATTTCATGTCACCACATGGGATACGCAAGGTGGGCTTGGGAATGAAGCAAGTGGCCCTGCAGAACCCTTGCCGGACCCAAGTTGGCAACAAAGAAGTTGTCTCATCAACACATGCGGTCAAAGGTGTGCGCACTACCTTTGACAAAGGTAAGACTGTCACCCATGCACTGAACTTCTTTGCCCTCGACAAGTGCCCCTTGGACACTGTCCTTGGCTTGGGCTGGCTGCAGTCCCAATGCGAATGGACCAAGTGGAAGGAATCACTCTTCATGGTCAAAGATGCTAAGGGGAATGAGCTTCCTGTCCTCTTGGATGAGAAGCGCGAATCCCCAGTGACTTTTCTGAATGCATTGAAATTCTGCAAGAAGTGGCGCAAGCACAAAGAGGAAAAACAATTGTATGTTGCCTTTGTTCGTCCTGCTCATGTGCCTTCTACTTTTGCGGCTAATACCACTACTACTTCGATGGATGAATCTACTTCTGGTACTTCTACTACTAGCACCTCTATCTCTCTATCCTCTAATAGTCCGAATGATCCTACTTCAGATTCGGTCGTCTCTATTCGCGACTTGCGACTGGACTTTGGTGATCCCTTTGCTGATTCCCCACCCCCACCTGTCCCATCAGACATCCAAGCCCTCCTCGATCGGTTTTCGGAAGTCCTGGTCGAACCACGTGGAGTCCCCACGCGACCGGTTCGACACACCATCGAGTTGGTCGAGGGTGCTGTTCCTCCAAAGGGCTGTGTGCCGTATGGGACCCGGCGAGTTGGAGGAACTCCGGCGGCAGATCGATGAGATGATTGACAAAGGGTGGATCAAACCAAGCGAATCTGAATTTGGTGCTCCTGTGTTGTTTGTGCCAAAGAAAGGAGGCAAACTCCGCATGTGTATTGACTATCGCGGTCTAAACCGCATCACAAGAAAGAATGCTTACCCATTGCCTCGTATAGATGACTTGCTTGATGCTGCAGGCGGGTGCAAGGTCTTCTCCAAGATCGACCTCAAGTCTGGTTACCACCAGATTGAAGTTGATCCTGCGGACCAGCACAAGACCGCGTTCAAAACGCGCGATGGGTTTTATGAGTTTACCGTAATGCCCTTCGGTCTTACGAACGCACCAGCCACGTTCCGAAGCCTCATGGACAAGGTCCTCCGCGAACAGAGTGGCCGGTTTGTGGTAGTGTACCTGGACGACATCCTGATTTTCAGCAAGTCCATGGAGGAACACCTCGAACATCTTGAGGAGGTGCTTGCTGTCCTCAAGAAGACGCAGCTCCATCTCAACTTTGCGAAATCCGAGTTTGGGAAGGATAGCGTCATCTATCTTGGGCACCGGTTGTCTGTTGCAGGCCTAGAGCCTGAGGCAACCAAGATTGAGGTCATACGCGATTGGCCTCATCCTGTGAACATTCGCAAATTGCGTTCTTTTCTTGGTCTCGCGTCGTACTATCGAAAGTTTGTACCCCGTTTTTCTATCATTGCTCGTCCATTGTCACAACTAACCAGTAAGAAAGTGTCTTATTCCTGGGATGTCGCGTGTTCGGAAGCTTTTCAAGCTCTCAAGGAAGCCTTGGTAAGTTACCCGGTACTCCGCATTGCAGATCCCAAACTGACATTCGTAGTCACTACGGATGCAAGTCAGTATGGAATCGGTGCAGTGCTGCAACAAGATGACGGCGATGGCTTGCGGCCACTCGAGTACTACAGCAAACGAATGCCCAGCGTAAAGGTGGCCACTTCCACTTACATGCGCGAGCTCTACGCTTTGCGCATGGCATTGGATCACTAGAAACATTACCTATTGGGACGCCACTTCAAAGTGTTCTCGGATCATGAGACCTTGAAGTGGATCAAAATGCAGACTACTCTGTCCCCTACCTTGCTTCGTTGGTTTCATGAGATTGACATCTTTGATTTTGAATTGAGACATAAAAAGGGCTATTACAATCGAGTCGTTGACGCTCTGTCTCGCCACCCTGAGTACATGACTTGCCTTGTGAAATCCTACGACCTGCGGAAGAAATTGAAGGAGGACCTCGTAGAGCAGACAACCAAGGACCCGGAACTCAGTTCCATCCTTGAACAACTGCGGGCTGATCCTAGTAGTCAGCCTGATTTCCACGAGTATAGAGGACTGATTTTTCGCCGATACGGGAACCATGACCGTTTGTGTGTGCCCAACCACGAGCCTCTCCACATGCACTTTCTGGACTTGGCTCATGGCCGAAGCGGGCACTTCGGCATGGCGAAAACGTACGCTAACCTGCTGGGAAAGTTTGATTGGCCTGGCATGAAAGGGACTGCTGAGAAATTTATAGCTGAATGTCAAGTCCGTCAACGAATCAAACCATGCAGACAAAAGCCCATGGGGCTACTCACACCCCTACCCATTCCTGATGGTCCCGGGGAGTCTGTCTCCATCGATTTCACTGACATGGGTAAGGTAAGCAAGAATGGGTTCTCACAAGTCATGGTGATTGTTGACCGATTTTCAAAGTTTCTTAATCTGATCCCTCTACCGCCTCACGCCCCAAGAGATCTAGTGATTCGCGAATTCCAGCAGAAATACCTGCTGCAATTCGGAACCCCGAAGACTCTTGTGAGCGATCGGGACCCGCGTTTCATTAGCGTTGAATGGAAGGAGTTCACGTCCCACCTAGGAATCAAACTGTGCATGACATCTGGCCGACACCCCGAAGCCCCAACGGTTTGGCTGAGGAGATCAACCAGACTGTATTCCAACTACTCCGTGCTTTGATCATTCATGATCAGGAAACATGGGATGAGGAGTTGTATTCTGTCAAGGGGTTGAACAACAACTCCGTCCACTCTGCCACCGCCACGACGCCCAACAGGCTGCACTACGGGTGGAAGATCCGCAATCCGCTTTCCTACTTGTTCCCTGAGCAGCCAGCTGGTTTAACACCCGGCAGGCCCGGCTTCAGGGCTAAGTATGATCGCTTGCTCAAAGTTGTTGTTGCAGCTATGACCAAGCGACAGCATGCCATGATCCATCATGCGAACAAGAAGCGCAAAACCATCGGAGGTTCAGGTAGGAAGTTATGTCTGGGTAAAGATGTCTGAATTCTCAGAGGAGGAGGGAGTCTCACGCAAACTCCTCCCACTCTACAACGGGCCTTGGGAAGTTTTGGATGTAATCGGGGAAGATCACTTTGGCCCTTCGTACGTTGTGGACGTGCCTGCTCACCTGCGCACATATCCCGTGTTTCACGCATCTAAACTGAATCTCCATCGTGATGCCGAGACATTCGATTATCGTGAATCCCTCGCGCAATCAAGGGCGGGCATGAGATAGACAGAATCAAACAGCATGTAGGTAAAGGGAGAAACAGACAGTACCAGGTTCATTTCATGTATCACCCGTTAGATGATCTCTACTGGATCTCCAAACAGGAASTGCTACGCAGCGCACCACGCGTTGTTAAGGCTTATGAGCGACARATCGCCGCTAACGCCACCCCGAAGATCGCAGCAAAGCTCT